AAATAAACAACACAATTTCCAGTAATTGAATAGCTCATAGAGTTGTTTACTTTCGTATTGTAAATACCTTGTTATATAAATAAATTTTAAATTCACGTTTTATTATAGTGCTTTATTAAAATATTTTAAATTGTGAATAAAAAAAATATATAAAAATGTCAAGTATGCTAAGTAAATAATATAACTAAATATATATTTTTTATTTTATTTGTAACTTTAGTTTGAAGTGTTTTCCTTTCATATATTTATCTTCTTGCATTAATATTCTTACTATAATATTTTTATATTTCTATTTCTTCTACTTACAGTTTTGTGCTCATTTGAAGCCCTAAGCACCACATAGGTGTTAAATTTGTTTTGATTGAACTGCGCAAACTCCGGAAACGTCAAACGTCAATCGAAGCAGCGCTGCTTCAGTCGCTGCCTCTGCCACTGCCACTGCCGGTGCCGCTGCCTTTGCTTTTGCCTTTGCCAATGAATGCTCACTCGAACGCTTTCCCGTTAGCCAAGTCCTCAGTTATTTAGCGGCTTTTGTGCGCAACACAACTGAACGGAACGAAGTGTTGTCGAATTGGTAAACGTAACGAGCAACGTGTTTAACGTAAGCAAAGTAACAACAACTACAACAACAATAACAGATACAACAATATCAAATAACTATCCAGCATTAAAACGAATGTTTGCCCCTGTGTCAAGGGAGCGTAAAAATAGAAAAAAATCGAAGTGAGGCAATAAATAAAAAAGCCAACGACCCCCGTGTGTGAGCGAGTGTGAGTGAGTGAATGTGTGCGTATGTGTGAGTGTGTCCATTCGTATAGTTATATGTGTTTACCGAATACATAGAAAAACAAAAGAACCAATAACTTGTTGTGTTAGCCATGTGCTATATCAATTAGCAGAGGATTACATACCCTAGCAATTTCATTGAACCGATTATGCTGCAATGCAAACAAAAGATTTAAGCAAACAGCTATGAAATATAAAAGTATAATAGCAACAGAGAGAGCAAATGAAATCAAATTAAAAATGTTTAATTAAAAACTAAATATGAATATTGAAATGAATTTTTGCATGCATTATATCTAATATATTACTATATAATAAACTTACTAGCCAAGTGGCTTTAAGGCTTGAATTGAAAAAACTTAGCCAACTTAATTTATCTATTGTTATTTTCAACATATTTTTGCTTCTTTTGTTTTTTTTTTTTTTTTTTTTTTTTTTTTTTAA